GGAGGGGGAGTTTGGGTCCCCCCGCTCAGCTCCGTGTCCCCTAGAGCGGGAGGGGGGGGGTCAGATCCAGAGGGGTCCCCCCCTCACCCCCGTGTCCCCCAGGGCGGGGGGAGGTGTCAGGTCCAGAGGGGTCCCCCTTCACCCCCGTGTCCCCCAGGGCAGGGGGTCCTGGGCAGTGGTGGGTCGGGGTCCGCAGGGCCCCCCCTGACCCCCGTGTCCCCCAGGGCGGGGGGTCGCGGCCGCTGCGGCGCAGCCGTCAGGAGTCCCTGGGCCGGACGGTGTCGGAGTCGTCGGAGGGTCGCGGCACCGCCTCGGAGCTGGACCTGGGCGAGGGCGGGTCCCTGTCCGGGAGCCTCTGCCGCAGCCTCCGCTCGCGGGGGGACAGCGCGTACCTTTCCCAGCGGGAGAGCTTCCCCCCCCCGCCCCCCAGCTCCGAGGGCAGCGAGGAGGACCCCAATGGATACGTGACCCCCAACTGCGCCCAGCGGGGTGAGGGGCGCGGCCCCGGGGGGGCGTCCTTAGGGGTGGGGGTCCCATCTCATCAGGGCGGGTCTGGGGGCTCCCCCATCATGGGGGTGTGGGGAAGCCCGTCCCTGGGGGGGGGTGTTCCATCCCTGCAGGGGTTGGGGGGCTTCTGTGGCTGTGGGGGGGGCAACCCCTTCCCAGGGATAGAGGGGGCCCGTCCCCAATATTGGGGGTGGAGGGACCCATCCCTGCACGGGGGGGGTGAGGGTTGTGGGGTGGGATGAGACCCCCCGAACTCGGTGGGCAGGTCCTGTGGGCAGAAGGGGGGGCCCGGGAGGGCCGGGGGGGCCCGGCCGGTGTCTCACCCCCCTCCTCGCAGATCCAGACCCCGCCGGGGGCTCGCTGCCGGAGCCGGAGGAGGAGGAGTACGAGTACATGAACCGCCGGCCCGGGGGCGCCCCGGGAGCCCCCCAACCCCGGCCGGCCTCGCTGGAGGAGCTGGGCTACGAGTACATGGAGGTGGGCTCGGAGCCGGGGGGGCCCCCGGGAGCCCCCCCGGGCCGGGGCGGGCAGGACGAGGAGGACTATGAGTACATGAACAAGCAGCCGCGGCTGAGCCGCTCGCTGGGCAGCGTGTCCGGGGCGCCGGGACCCCGCCCCGAGGGCAGCACCCCCCGCCACGACGGCTACACCGACATGCGGCCCGGGGAGACCCCCGCGCCCCCCGGCCCGGAGGAGGAGCAGGGCTACGAGGAGATGGAAGCCGTGGTGACCCCGCGCTGCCCCGGCTGCCGCGGGACCCCCGCCCCCGGCATGAAGCCCCTGCGCAGCCTGGAGGCCTCGGACTGTGCCTTCGACAACCCCGACTATTGGCACAGCCGCCTCTTCGCCAAGGCCGATGCCCAGCGGACGTAGGGGACCCCCCCCGGCCGCCCCCCGGGCCCCCCCCCGGGGCCACTCACACTGGATATGAAGGATCCCCCCGGGGGGAGGAACCCCGGCGGGAGGTGGGCGGGACCGGGGGGGGGTCTCAGCCCGGTCCGGGGGGCTCCTGCTCCCCCCCACCCTTTGCAGGGTCTTTTTTTGGGGGTGCGAGGCTGGGGGAGCTGATCCTGGGCCCCTCGAGGTGGTGGGGAGGGGGCAGCCCAGACCCCGTGAAGGGGAGGGTCGATGGGGCTCAGGACCCCTGGATCCCCCTCCCGCCGTGCCCGGGGGGTGTCCCCCGGCTGCTCCCCCCGGCTGAAGGTGCTCCCCCTGTGCTGGGGGTCCCCGCGGGGCCGGGGGGGAGCAGCAGACGAGGTCGGACGGGATTTCTGAAGGACCCCAGACTCATTTTCAGGTTTCCCCATTCCCCGCTGGAACCGGAGTGAAGGTTTGGAGGTGTCCCCTCCAACCCCCCACCCCCGCGGGGGCACTCGGAGGAGTGTCCGGCGGTCGGGGGAGGAGAACAGTGCTCGGGGTGAGGGGGGTCCGCACGGCCGCCCCCTGCCCCGCTCCGGGCGGGGACTCCCCGGGAATCCCTTTTCCGTGGTGCTTTCCCCGGTTTCTCGGGGGCTGCCCGGGGTCGGGGGGGGGTCAGCCCGGACCCCCCCGCTCAGGGGCCGCCCCGGCGTCGAGGGGGGCGAGACGGGGCTGAATAAAGACAAAAGGGAATTTGAACACCGGAGTCGGTGCTGCGGCTCGGGGGGGTCGGGGAGGGGACACCGGGGGAGGATCGGGGAGACCGAACCGAGGGATTGAGGGGGGACAACAGATCGGGGGCTGCGGCGGGGCCACGGGGCTGGGGGCGGTGAGTGGCACCGGGGGTCAGGGGTCGGGGACACCGACAGCCTCGGGCAGTGACCGGCCTCGGGGGGGTCACGGCGGCGGTGTTGGGGGGGCGGGGGGGGAGGACACCGGAGCGGGAGCTGCGGCGAGAGAGCGGTGATGGGGCTGGTAACGGGGACAGGGACCGGGGGCACCGACAGCCTCGGGCAGGGACCGGCACCCCACCTTCCGCCTACATCCCCCATCGCCCCTCGCACCCCACTTCCGCCGCGATTCCCCCTCCTCCTCTCGCGAGAGCCGCGCTCTGCGCCGGGAGTTGTAGTCCCGGGGAGGGGAAGGCCCGCCCGGGGCCCTGCGCGCGGCGGCGCGGGCGCTGCCGGGAGTTGTGGTCCGGGGGGGCGTGGAGGACTCGCGTTCCCAGCGCGCCCCGCGCGGAGCCCGCGCTCTGCCCTGCTCGCGCCTCGGGCTCGCGGTCCCGGCGGCTCCTCGGCGGCGGCGGCGGCGGGCGGGGGGCTCGACCAGGCCCGGGGGGCTCGACCAGGCCCGGGGGGGCTCCGGGGGAGGCTCGGGCTCGGGGGAGGGGCTCCCACCATGTCGGGCGAGGAGGAGGCGGCCGAGCTCACCATCGCCGAGGACCTGGTGGTGACCAAGTACAAGATGGGGGGGGACATCGCCAACCGTGAGTGCGGGGCCCGAGGCGGGGGGGGGGGGGGGGGGGCGGGGGGGGGGGGGCCTGGGGGGAGGGGCGGGGGGGCGGCGAGGGCCGGCCCCCCCCCACGGTCTGAGCCCCCCCGGGCCGGTGAGGAGGGGGGGGGGGGGGGGGGTGGGGGGGGCCGCGGGGGGGGCCCCCCCGCCCCCCCCCCCCCGTCCCCCCCCCCGGTCCCCGGGACCCCGCCGGGCCCCGCGCGGCCGCCGCCGCAGCCGGCACGTGGTACCGCGCCCCACGTGCACCGGCGGCGCGGGGGGTGCGGGGCCGGGCCCGCCGCCCCCCGCCGCCTCCGGGACACGCGGGGACCCCCCCCGGCCCCGCCGGTGCCCCCGGGGCTGCCCCGCGCCCCCTTTTTGTTCGGGGGGCTCTGACCCCCCCCCCAGGTTCGGGGGGCCGGGGGGGGCCCGCGGCGGGGGGGGGGATGGGATTGGGGGGGGGGGGGCCCCGGGGGGGGGGTCCTGCCCCGGCCTGGGGGGGTCCTGCCCCGGGAATGGGGGTGGGGGCTGCCCCGGGAATGCGGTTCCTCCCCCAGAGCGGGGGTCCGGCCCCGGGAATGCAGCTCCTGCCCCTGCTCGGGGGTCCTGCCCCGGGCCAGGCTGTGACCCCCTCCCCCGCCCTCAGCCCCCTCTCCCCGTGTCGTTCCCTCTCCCCTGTTATTTTTTAACCCCTCTCCGCTGTCCCCGCGCAGGGTGACAGCTGTTAGAGCCGCCCCGACCGGTTCCGTGGGGCTCCCGGCTGTCCCACCCCGGCTCCTGCTGACTCCAGAGCTTCTCCCGGACTCCTGCCGCTGTCCCGGGAGGCAGCTCGGGCCGGGAGCGGGGACGCGGATTCCCTTCGGGAAGGGAGGTCGCCGCCGCTTTGGCTCCCTCGGTCTGCCGGGCAAACTGGAAGTTTGGCCACCTCCCTTCCCGGGGGGAAAGGCAGCTCCACGCGGGTTCTTCTCCCTTGGGAAGAGAAAACGCACGAGCATGGCAAAAAAACTTCCAGCTGCCTCGAGTTCTTGCCAGAGCGAGGGGCTTTTAGAGCTGTAAAGTGCTTTGGCTCCCTGAGGAAACGCTGGGAAGGGCAGAGCACGGTCGGGATTGTTCCTGGGCAGTGCTGTCAGCTGTCCCTGCTCCTCGGATCCCTTGGAATGCTCTGAGAGTTCCCCATTTATCTGTTTCCCTGTTTGTTTTATTTCTTTTCCGTGTTCTGCCGGCCGCAGCACTCGGAGCACTATCGGAGCGTTATCTGTGCTTTGAAATATTCCAAACTTTCCCATGGAAGGGCGGCTGGAGGGGGCTGGAATTTGATTTGTTGCGCAGGTGAAAGACCCACCTGTCCCCTCGGCCCTTCCAAGGATTCCTTGGAACTCCAAGAAAGCACATTTTCCCCCCCTGTGTGACTCCCCCTAAACAGCCTCTTGTACAAACAACCTGATCACAGGACGAGGGGAAACTTTGGGGAGATATCCAGGGATCCCAGGAAACTTTGGGATCGGCGCTGTGGCTCCCTGGGGAGTGTCACAGGTGGAGGGAGAAGGAGGGAAGGGGCCCTGGGACACCCCTTTCCCGCAGTTTGTCCCTAAAGCATTCCCAGCGGATCCAAACAGGACTCCAGGGACCCAAATATTCCCAAAGCTTCCTGTGAGCCAGAGCTGGGCGTGGGGAGTTCCCTGTGCCAGGCTGGGTGGGCCAGGAGCACATGGATCCTTTGGAAAACAGGGACTGGTGCAGGGGGTGCCCGGCTCAGTCTGTCTCTGGTCCTGCACGTCTGCAGCGCCTTTGATGTCTCCCAGCAACTCCCAAACCTGTTCCTGGAGCTCTGACTTCTCCCAAAGGAATGTGGGGCTCCTGCTTCCCGCTGGGTCCCAGAGGTGCTTCACCTGTGCGGCCCCATGGGAACATTCCCAAAGATCAGGGTGGGATTTGTGCCTCTCCAGGGTCACTTTTAGTCAGGATCCGAGTCCGGGATCTTGTTTTGTCCCGGACAACAACGAGGTTTTCCCGCCCTGGTGCCGTGAGGGGGGTGTTGGTGTTGGGTTTGGGGGTGTTGGTGTTGGGTTTGGGGCTGTTTGTCCATGAAACCCTCAAGGTGTCCTTTGGGATCCAGGGGTCCTTCGTGCCGTGGTGGAGGCGGCGAATCCCGGGGCGTCGGTGCTCTGCCTGTGCGAGAAGGGGGATGCCATGATCATGGAGGAGACGGGCAAGATTTTCAAGAAGGAGAAGGAGATGAAGAAAGGTGAGGCTGCTCCGAGGACCTTCCGTGGTTCTGGTTCCCGTGGGAATGGGCAGGAGCACGGGAAGTGCTCCTGGGTGCTGAGGGATGTGAGGGATGTTTTGCTGTTCCCAGGAAGGCAGCGTTAGCCCAGACCCTCCTGCCTGCCCTCCTGGTGTCACTGCTGCTCCTCAGCTTCCCAGTTACCCCCTGGAAATGGGAATTACTTGGGAGAGTCACTTGGGGGTTGTGTGACACTGAAATGCGTCACCAAGAGCTCCCTGCTCTGTGTCCTGGAGGTCCTGAAAATAGGCCCAGATGGGATATTGGAAGGAATTCCTCCCTATGAGGGTGGGAGGCCCTGGCCCAGGTTGCCCAGAGAAGCTGTGGCTGCCCCTGGATCCCTGGAAGTGCCCAAGGCCAGGTTGGACAGGGCTTGGAGCAACCTGGGCTGGTGGAAGGTGTCCCTGCCCATGGCTTTAAGATCCCTCCAAACCCAGGCCGCTCCCTGACTCCGTGGTTGTGTTTCTCCCTCTCCAGGAATTGCCTTCCCGACGAGTATATCCGTAAATAACTGTGTGTGTCACTTCTCCCCGCTGAAGAGTGACCAGGATTACATCCTCAAGGACGGGGATCTGGTCAAAATGTGAGTGCCTGGGGCGTGTTCCCTCCTCTGCTCCTGCTCCCTGGTGAACACTGCCCAGAATCCCGGGATGGTTTGGGTCGGAAGGACCTTAAAGATCATCCCCTTTCCCCCCCCGCCGCGGGCAGGGATGCCCCAGCCCAGGTTCATGAATTACTGCCTCGCTAATTAAAGACTAATATCGAGTCTGGACCGGCGCCTGGGGCGCTCTCCCCTTTCCTGGTGCCTCTGGAATGGCCCCTGAGCCCTGAGACCCTCCTGGAATTCCCTCTCCTTTGTGTTGCAGCGACCTGGGGGTGCACGTGGACGGGTTCATCGGGAACGTCGCCCACACCTTCGTCATCGGCGCCTCCAAGGTGGGTTTGTCCTCGGGGGGTGTCTCATGTTGGGGGGTCTCTGAATCCAGGGGGCTCTCTGGGGAGGGGGCAGCACCGGGAGCCTTGGAGGGACAGTCCCTGCAGTGCCCCAGGACGGGTGTTCCCCACCCCAAAATCAGTCTTTGCTCCCCACTGTTCCTGCAGCGCAGACGTTCCTCTCTGGGGGCTGCTGTTGGTGGGACACTGGGATTTTGGCTGGTCTCGTGCCTTGGGAATTCCTGTCACGATCCCAAAGTTGCCACTTACAAAAGCTGGGGATGAATCCTCAGGTGTAGCCTTGGGAAGAGGGTGACAATGTCTTGGGTTTTGCTCCAGCGGCTTTGGAACGACTCGAAGGGGAGAGGACCAAAAATCCTCATTTGGAGTGTGTTGAAACCCTCCTAATCCA